TGAATACAAGCAGTAAATACCGACAGTATAATCGAAGGTATGAAGACCAAGATGGTGTGGCCTTTTATGTAGTAGCAGTCAGTATAAGTCTGCAAATTTCATTGAAAGTCAGATCTATTTGAGTTATGGTTTGTCTCTATGATATACTTTTAATAGTTATTCTGGCTTGACTTTTCTTCTCATCGCATAATTACTTCGAAATATGTTTTCTCACATCGAAACTTACCTTTATCTCACTACGTTCCATACGTCTTTATATAAAATGCATTTGATTTGATATTTGGTATGAATGGGAGCATGCAAATAATGTCTTATCTTTTGTTGGAATCCCGGTTGTTTGCAATAGCAATAGTTTGCCATCTTTTGTCTGTGCATGGTGGTGTGTTCCTAAGTAATAGTTTTATGCTCTAACAATTTATATGACATGATATGCGAGAACTCAGCAAGGATTTCTCAGGGTTGCTTGACGGTGCGTTAAGGACTTATTCAAAATTTTTCAGCTTCCAGCTAACCTTACTTCGGTTTCTGATTAGGCTTTTTTACGATTTACTTGCAGCCAACTTTTCCTGCGAATGGATATGTCTAGCGATATGGAAACATTAAAATATTCTTCGTGACTTAACTTTTCTTTATACGTTTAGTAGTAAGAGGGTTTTTTCACTGTACATGTTATGGCGATTGCTTTCCGTATCCGCCTATTTTAATCAAACCTTGTATTTTCTAGAGACAAAACTCACATCTATTTTTCTTTCTTTACTATATATAAAATGTGATTTTATAGTTGCAGGGCATCAAAGTATAGTCCTGCTTACATGTAAAGTGGTTTACTGCTAAAATAACAATAGTTCCCAAAAATGTTTAAAAAACGAATCGGCACAATATGTTCAGAAAGCCTACTTAGTGATGCAGTTCATTAGCTAAAATGAATTTCTTTGATAACTTCTAGTTTGTAACTTCATAACCACTTATATCCAAACCTTTGCTGTGGAATAATACCAATTTCTCCTATATTAACTTTCATAGGGAATATCAATATGAATCATGAAGTCGCATTTGTTAGCATGTACCCTGTGACAAAATGTTTATTGCAATAGCGACTGACTAATATTTCAACACTATTCTTCTTTACTCAAAAACTACAGAGGAATGCATATAAATCGAGCATATCAAGAAAATCTTTAATACATGCGCCTTTTGCTGTCACTTAATATGGTTATTTTATGAGAATAAGCCCTCAAAATTAAATACATTTTTAGTACTTGTATTTATTTATCTGTTCTATCAGGCTCGTTTACACTTCTTCGAGTCAACTCCACACGGTCGAATTTTGAATCGGTTCTCTTCTGATATTGGCGCTATAGATGACGCTCTCCCATTCCAGTTAAATATTCTTCTGGCTGAACTTGCAGGCCTTTTCGGCACTGTGGTAATCTCCTGTATAGCTCTACCCGCATTGGTCCTGTTGATGCTGCCACTCGCTTTTGTCTATTGGTCTTTACAGCGACTTTATCGCGGCGCTGCACGCGATCTGAAACGCATCGCCAGGTCGATTATTAATTTATTCACTATTTTTTACGGCCTATTGACTATATTTGTGCTTTAAGTAATTATGCTTTGTTACTTTCAAACCATCATTTTAACTAATTATATCACTAAAGAAAAATCTACTGACTAATTATTATAATATTCGTATGAAAGTAGGGTTTCGAGACTACCAGTAAATCAGTGTAATGAGATGTATTCACCCTATTTCGTCTAAGTTGATGAAGGACTGGTAGTAGATTTTTCCCACAATGATATGAGTTGAGCTT